CAGTTGTCTTTTTCTTTTTAAAATTTAATCTTGCTTTTATCAGGAGTACATAATTCTGATTCAAAGTTGAACTGAACTAGTTAAAGTGACCAAAAACCTGTTTCTGGCTAGAACTTTCAATATAAATACTTCTGAATTTAGAATTCCACTATCTGTACACAAACAACAGCTGGGAAATGCACAGCTGTATCTAGAAAGGACACCTATTAAATGTCTCCAGCTATAGGATCAAAAATGTCAACTCACATCTCAGCTATAATATAAACAGTTTTCCAATTCAGAGATTGAACCTCATTCATAGCAGACTGAGAAAGACAACACACGTACCTGAGTGCTTGCACACACACCCCCACTCCCATATAAAATACATGCATAAATGACACTTACTAGATCAGCTGATGTACGCCTGATCAATGGCAATCAAATAATAAAAAACAGGAGCTGGGGTTAGTTCTTACTAAACCGAAAATCCAAACCAAACAATACCGGAGGGACTCAAATAAATAAGGGAGTAGAGAAACCTTTGGTGCAGAGGGAAATGCAACAACCAAAACAAGAGAGCCTGAGTACTGCAAGGGGCTTCTGCCACTTCTCAAGGGTGGCATTAGGCATGAATTCCCCCATTAACATTGACAGCTGCCTGAAAAAGACAAGAGTTCGAGTTTTAATAGCACTGTACACCTGCAACGTTTTCAAATCTTTTAGACACACGTATTTCCAGGTAGGAAAGCCCAGGCAAAGCAGCATGTGGTATTTATACCGGAGGAGGGAGTTAAGAGTATCCTTGTGAAACAGGGTTGCTAGACCACACCCACTTCCACACTTCTCTTGCTGTGGTTTCACCACCAGCTTGGGAACAAACTCAGCTAGAAGTACACTTTCTACTTCCTTCCACCTACTGCCATCCACCAGGACAAGACAAAGCCACATTACTCTCGAATCAGAGACTGGTGCAGATGATGAGCATTCCCTCCCTTTTTTGATACTATTTAGCTGCTACAAAGTCAGAGGCGTCCTCAACATGGCAAGTACTGCAGAGTGTTTATAGAGGGGCAGCTGGATTACAGCAATCATCCGAAAAGGGGAAGAGAACATCTTGAAATGAGTGCAAGCCTGCCAATGCCAAGACATTTGCTGTTGCCTTTTCAGCAGATCAGCTGATGATACAGCAGTTCTAACAGCTGACTGCTCCTTTAACAAATATGCTCACCAGTGCAGCATGTAAATACAACAGTTGTCTCCAGTACTCACCAGCAGCCTCCAGCAGCAATGAAACTCTCACATGGAGACCAAGGACCAGTTACAGTCTTCAAGGTGCTCCCCTTGGGCTCTCCAGGTGTTTGAGGTTACAGCTGTATTCCCCAAATTTACAGTGACTACCAACCAATGCTATTCTGAGAGTTGCATATACATCTGGGATCCAAATAACATCACTAAATCAATTCCCTAATTATAGAGGCTAAACAAAAAATAATTTAATGACCTTGTTACATTATCGTATTAAAAAGAAGACAGATTTTCCCAACAGGAATGAAAGCTATTTATTAAATCAGTCTGCCCATTCTCCCAACAGAAGCTGCCCTTGCAGGCTGCCAATGGGCTAATGACAGCCACTGTCCTTGCACCTCCTCTGGGGAAGCTGTTGTCAAAACTGAGCAACGCAGAGGTGAAGGTGTATGGAGATCGTGGGTGGGATGGAATGGGATATGGACGAGCTCTCTTGGCTGACATCCCCAAGCCCCAAGTCATCTCATTAGATGAAGCAGACGCCAACCCACTGCCTGTGTAAACTGTCCCTGAAGGAAAGGGTAGAGCAGATCCTTCCCTATCCCGCTCCACTCATCCTGCTGCTTACTGAGCCAGTGATGGTTACATTGTTCACATGCACAGTTAGTCATTTAATTTCCACATGACTTTTGGGCCAAAAACCATTCCTGGAAGGGAAGGCACTACTTTTCTGACTTGGAAGCAAAGAACCAGAATAGAGACAAAGCGAGGTAATGTTTTTCTGGTCCTACTCGGACTCAGCTTTCAAATTTTAGACAACACTGCCATTAAAAAATGAGAACTCATTTTGTAGCTCCCCCCAGACTCACAGAAATTATGACTCTGATTTTAAATTAACTGTGATTCTAACTTAAATGTGACAGTAGAAAGAGAAGTGTTGAAAAAAACAGATCAATTAAATGCTGATTTTTAAAAGGAAGAAGAGTGAAAGGATTGGATAGAATCTGAACATGTAGGAAAAAGTATTGAAAAGAGGGAAGGGTCATTTAGCAAGTAATCACTGAGAGCGAGGGCCTAATGAGATGTTTTGCCTGGGCCATTTCTAACCAGGAGTGATCCACAGGTAGCTGCTCCCTTCATTACAGATGCCAAATCTTGTCCTATAATTACAGGAGCAAAGAATTTTCTACAAATTGATAAAGTGCAGCACATGAGAACAAACGGAGAACAATAACATGCAGGGATGGGAGATAGCAGCACATAGAACGATTTTCTCTGGGTTGAGAAAGTGATCTGGGTGGACAGGCACAGCCACAGACCCCATACTTTGCTGACCGTTGCCGTATATGTGCTCTACATGTGGCACGTGGCACTGCGTTTGGATGCAAAGAGAGTATGCCATGCATTGTGTATTTACAGCTTGAGAGGAGAGTGACTAGAGCTAATGAACAATACCAATATATATTTCACAACCGTTATATCAGAAAAAGCACACTGTAATGCTTTCAAATAATTTTTAAAAGTGCACGAGAGATTGTGATAGATATGCACTGCTGGTATTATACAAAGGGTAAGAGGAAGGACAGGGAGCAGGAGGCCCTTGGCTGCAGCATGGCTCTGTTTTTGTGCTGACTGGCAGCAGCAGGGCAGGGTAGCTCACTGCTGCTTTGCTCCTTAAAGATGCCTCCAGGAGGAGGGCACTCTCTGAATTGTGGTTCGGTGTGAAAGCAAAGACCATTGTCATGCTCAGTATCAGCTGAGCAGTCAGAGCTGGCAGCTTAACCATCACCCAAAGCACAGGGAGGGCTTTTAAGGAAGAGAGACTCTCCTAGCTGCAGGCACATTTAAGGGGGTCATAAATTGGATTCCTGCATAGCGCTACCACTCAGAGCTGCAGTACTGACATGGTATCCAAGTAATGCCTATCAGTCGCTTCCTCATCTCAACAGCAGCTGTGTTTTCTGCAAGAGGAATGGTAGCTAAAAATAATCTGGCTTTGACTTCCTCTTTCAAACCCTCCAGTCTCTTTTAAAAAGATTTTTTTGTTCTCCCAGAAACAGCAAGGAGAATGTAAGAGACAAAACCAGAACGGTGACCTGCACAAAGGGAACAGCAGCATTAGAAAGCTCAGAGAACTGTAGGAAACTACAATAAAGATCAGGAATAGTAAAAAAATTGTCACAGTTTTGAGCAACATCCTGCAAATTCCCTTTGGCACTCGCAGCAAGCTTTCTGTTACGCCTTTACTTGTGTGACTCAATGGTGCTGAGGAAAAGGGGAATACAATCTGGATGTTTCTGAATGCAATTCATTTGCTCATTAAAACATATTAAAAGAAAGAACTGTGCTCAGTAATCATCAAATGCACTCTCATGTCTGCACAGAAGAGATTTTTACTCCCTCATAAATATGTTTTACTTTTAATTCTGTGTCATCCATAGATCCACAAAATATGTCAATCCCACACCAAACATGCAAATGGAGAAGAGAATATTCAATTAATCCTTCAGTAACACAGCATTATGTATTCTCATCCAAAAACAATTCTACAAATACAGGGCTGGCAGGCATGTCCAGACTGCTGCACGCAGCTTTTCATAATCCTTTTCATAAACAGACCTAATTCTATATTAAAATATGTAGGAGTTTCATATATAATTTTTCAATTGCAGTCCACAATTAGCCTGACACAGACTATACCTCAAAACTCCCCAAGGTAGCAATGATGATTCTTTATTTGAATCTAGTCTTGCAGAAGATGCCCACTCCCAGTAGGTACCTCTGGACACTACCAACCATAAACAAAATCATAAGCAGAATTCAGACCGTGACTTACAAACCTGCTGCTAACAGACCAATACCTGAAGTAAGAACAGTACAAGGGACAGAAAAAGAAATGGTGAATACATCTCCATCCTATTGTCTCAAATTCCAAATAAATATGTTGTACAATGTAAAGGGTTGAAAGTATACAAGAAAGCATGCCACTGTATATAGTTTATGTATCATAGCATATACCATGAGCTTTACCTATGGCATAGCCATTAACATGGCCTTATCCCTTCTCAAATCTCAACACCAGAAACCATAAGCAACTCTCTGAGCACTGTAGCATGAACAGCCACCTCGCCCTTGGCCAAGTCAGAGTGAAGACAGGGCCACCACCTAAGCAGGGGATTATGGGAGCTCCTCCTTCCTCTCCCCGAATCCTTTCCCCACTTGGCAGAAAGCAGCACTCTTCTCCCTTCTCAGCTGCACCCCCTCACCATTTCCTCCCACATCAGTTCCACTGTCACCACACTCTCAAGCTTATTTCCTACTTCCTGGTTTCTTTGCTCAGCCTCACCGATGCAACCCCACACCCCAGTTTCAGGGGTTATCACAAAGCTCTCTGGGCCAGAGACGACGGTGAGCCCAGACAGGGCTTGGCACCATCCATGGGCTGTCTCCCAGAGGTCTGGGGGGAAATCAAATCACCTGTGTACCAAGGCTAGCACAGCAGCTCTGCAGCTCTGACAGGGGTAAGGGAAGCACAGGTGCTACCAGTGAACTGGGATCAGGGCTTCTCCTTCGGCACTATGGAACACCAGATAAGAAAAAGCAAAAATAATTAAATCTTTCAATGTCATGGTAGGTGATGCTAAAAGTAATCACAAGAACATAGAATATTAAGTAGATTTTGGTACCTTTTTAATAGGAAAATGGAGAAAAACAGGAGCTCCAATAAACCACAACAAAGAAAGAGAGAAAGTAAAAGACCTGTAAAGTAAACTGAATCCAAACATAAGCAATGTTTTATTGGGATATAGCAAGCAACCTATCAAATAGGGAACTGGTACAAACAGATTGAACAAGACTCTCTTTTAACAGAGATGTATGGTGATGAGACAGCTTCTTTCAGTTCTTAAAACAAGTATTCTAACTGTTAAGTAAAGCATTAAAAAAACCCCAATCATTACAACACCAAAGACAGACAGTATTAAAAATGTGCAGAATTTTACTTTTTACAAATTTCTGCATAATGTTAGAAAACAATCATAAATTAAAAAAGAAATAAAATTAGGCTTTTTTTGTTGTTGTTTGCAAAGGAACACAAACCTTTAAAAACCAACTATATTTTACATTGGACTACTATTAAAAACAGGTGAAAACAAGTTGAAAATTTAAAGAACAGCAAAAAATACACAACCCAGTTTCACCTGTCAGCAACACCTTCTGCTATCGAAGGAGTTATGTTAGTTGTATGTACAGCTTTAAACATTGCAGCATACCACGAGTAAACCTTAATAAGGTCAAAATAGGACCCTCTGCAAAAAAGGGTGACTTGGCAAGTGTCAGTCCCATCCTAAAATTAAAAGTAGGAATAATATTAATAGGTCTTCAGTGTAAACCAAAACCTACTTTAACTGGTTTCTCTCTCCTAAAGATGCCTATAAACTTTATTTGGGGTTGGTTTTATTTTTTTTTTTTTGTATTTCAATTAATGAAATCAAGAACTTGTCTGGCTCAAAAATGAGAATGACATACCTCCCTTATGTTCTGGATACAGTGATGTAGCTATCTCAACATGCTGACTGACACTTCCTAAAAGAGAAAATCATTATGTACTATGTAAAAAATACACACCACCTCTCTCAGTTCAGACTCAGTATATAGTATATTGCCAACTCTATCCAATAGGATATATATTGTAATTTGGTTTAAACTCTTAATAGATATATTCCCTCTTTACAAAGTTCCATCACATGAAACCAAATTGCTTATTTTTCCTTTGAGGTACAACATGACCCCAATGAGACAATTCGCTACAAAGAGTTGTTCTTTAGATGTTGTGTCTGTAGAGGTTTTACGTGATATTCATAGATTTTCAGCGCAGGCCCCAGTTTTAATGAAAGTCCAGTCAGTACATCATTTCTTGTCATCAACAGTAATGATTTGCCATCAATTTCCTATAAGAAGAATTAAAGAGTTGATAAAGACAAATGTACACATCTAACAGATGAGAATAGTCATGCAACAAAAGACTACTACAGAGAATCAGTCAGAAAAGAAATAGCAGCCTTTATTTTCCTGAAGCCATGTTTATAGCTGCTAAATTCTGCTGTCTGCTTTTCAAGTGGTTCACCTGTGCTGACTAAGGTATAAATACTATTTAGTCAAGCAAAAAATTCAAATGAGCCTAATTTCAAAATTCCCTCCTTGTAAACCTCTTTCAAATTAATAGCTACAAGTGCAGATTGCCTAATTATCAGCCATTAAGGGAAGGATACCCTTAAGAAGGCAGCTTACTAAGTGCATTTCAGAATTACTATTGACAGCAACATGCAAGTTTAGACTCATCAGTATCTGCTAATAACTTCAGGTGCCTTCTTTAAAAGGCCAACCTTCCCATGCATCTTGTGGGGGAAAACAAAGAGAAGACTCTTGCAATCAGAAATTTCCGAAGGGCCTAACTGGATCTTGACACTCTGAGGTACCTTCTCTTCCTCCACTTACAAGGGAGGAGGAGAAAAGTGGCAACTTGCCAGCTGAGGTCTCAACAACCCGTACACTTTCCTGCTTAAATATGATTTGTAAATCTGAGACACGGTGGCACTTTTTTCTCTCAGACCTTGACCTTCTGACCGGTTTAGGTTAGAAATCCTGTAGGCTTTGGAGCTTTTTTCCATCTCAAAACCTTGTCATATGTTTGAAAACTACCTCTAAATGACTTTTCAAAGGTCAAAACGGAAAAGAAAGAATCCACATCTCTCAACTCCCTCCTCCATTTTAGACACGGGATCATCCTTTTTGTCACACATTCCTACAGTTCAGTGACACTGCACTACTCCAGAAACAGGAGTTACAGCTACACAACAATGCATTGATTGGTGCCTCATAACACAGCCAGACCTCCAAAGGGCATCACAGCCCAAAGAAGTATACAGCCTTATCTGGCATTCTCCTGCACTGGACTTCACTCTGCTGTTGCATTCTTTTTTTACTTTTAATTAAGGAAACCCCCACTGTTAAGTGTTGAATTTGTTATCAATAGCCAACAATGAATTCAAATGCTGGCATATTGTTGTTGTCCTCTAATATACTGCCAAAATTTAGTATTTTTATAAGTATTATAAATGTCACACATCAATTTATCAAACTGCAGCATGTTCCTTAGGAATATTAAATGTTGTCTTGGAAATGTTAGAGATCCCATTCTTGATTATAAGTCAACATGAAAAGAGGAAGATATATATTACAGTTCAGCATGAATTTGTCCAGACTGATCTCTCCTACAATTCGATAAAGTTTATAAACACAAAATACAGGGACAAACCACAATATAGTCAAAGATCAACTGAAAGTGGAATTTCTTTAAAATACCCCCAGGATACATAAGACTGTTAATCCCTCAGAGGAGCACAAAGTAACAGTATGTCTAAAAGAAAAAAAAGTTTCCAATAACTTTTTACCCAATTAGAGCAGGTCTCTTTCCAATTACTGTTGAGAATGTTAATGGTTAAAACCAGTTTCTATCCTCTCTTTTCCATTCGTCACAATTCTTTCTGTGGGAATTTTGACACCAGTGAGTATTTTGCTCATTGCTATGACCGATCTGAAGCTGCTTTTCTGCTGCTGTTCAACGATGCTATGGAGGAAGAACAGCCTCCAGCTTGGTAGGATCCCAATGAAGTAAATCCAGTACCTGGAACAGGAGAAACTCCAAGAATAGGAAAAAAGCATCTATTCCTTCCCCTTCTTCTTTTACAGGGTTCCCTGTGATTTCTAGAAGTGCTGGTAACTACTAAAGCTTTCACTGAATAGAAAACCGATTCTCTAATATCTGTGTAGAAATGAGTGATTATGTATTCAGAGTTCAAGCATTTTATATCTTTGTGTGTATTGTAAGCTTTACCTCTTCCACTTCCTTTAAGTTTCCACATAAACATGCTTCTGCAGAATTGTCACAGTTACTCCATTTTTTGGCACCAGGTAAGATTTTGTATGCTTTAGTGACTTCTCTGATTTCTTCTCTGCTACTTGTCTATTTTCTGTATTTTTTGGGGGGGATGCAACTTCAATGCCAGCTTTCAGTATGCCTTTTTTTTATGTTACCTGCAGAGAGACACCTCTGCACAACTAGAGCTAACAGTAATTTCCCACTGTGCCTGGATGATCTCAACAGCAGTTGAATATTGTCTTCAGCAAAAAACCAGAGGACTGGTTAAGCTTCAAGTCCTCCCACCACTCCTTCTGCCCTTTCTGAGAACTGCAAGGTTTTACAGCACAGGCCACATGAAAGCACGGCAGCCAGCATGTTCCCACACTCCTCTGTGCCGTGGCTCTGCCAGAAAGCAACAGTGGACACCAGCTGGTATCAAACCCCAGATTCCCTTCGGGTAAGGGACTGCAGCGAGGCCAGGAAACCAGCACTGGGCTTATCTGGCTATCGCAGGACTAATGGGTAAGAAGCCACATGGGCAATAACAAAGGTCACAGCACTAGCATGTCTTGAGACTCTCAAACAGCTTCAGTCTTGGAGTGAGCTACAGCCCCCTCTGCTCCCAGGGCTCCTAGAGAAAGCCCAGCCACATGCTGGCAGGCAGCATCTCTTTGAAAGTGTTCACACCTTCACCCTGCATCTGGTATTCCTCCCTCTTTAGGTATCCTCAACTTCTTGGCTTGTCTGATTTGCTTGCTGATGTTATGGTTTTTTATTACTGGGCAGCATCTTTGTGTTGAATGTGTTTTCATCAGTGAGCTCTTTTGATTTGCTGACATCAGTGGAACTCCAAGAAGGAATAAGGTATGATCATCATACAACCATCACTTTTTACCAGCACTTACAATACGGTTTTAATAAAACATTCTGCAGCTCTTAAAATGTCTTCTCATAGTCCTTAAAATATAGTAAGACAAATTCAGGTCTTAAAAAATTTTTGAGTCACTTGTTTTAGGCAAGTCCAGATGTATTCAGATTCATCAAAAGAAAGTTGGACTCTGCTACTGTTGTGTAAAACCTGAACTTAATAACAGATTACATTCTGGGCTATGGATGTTTTGTGCTACCCCTACCAAAGCAGTTCAGTGGTAAACAATTTCCCAGTGTTGTAGGTGACACTGAATACTTTCCTTTACCACTTACAACCTCATTGTTTTTCCAGTACATATTCAGGGCAGTAGCAGATCTGGTTTCTAGGGGCCCATGCAAACTGCAAATGGCAGAGGAAAACAGAGATGGCCAAAACTTCGGCTGCATGACTGGTGCTCTATAGACAGAGCATGGCTGGGATTCAAACTGAACCTGTCTGCACTGCCATACCTGGAAGATCCTGATAATAGATACCATAAGAAGACAGAGTTACTAAGTTAGTGGCTAGTAAATAGTGTAGAAGAAACTGAACACCCCCACTGGTAAGACGTTAGGGATAGGGTTGTTTATGGGGCTGTTTCTGATCCAGACAGGGAACAGGCTGGCAGAGCTGCTATGTAGAACCAGGTACTTGCTGCTCCTTGTGCTGCTAATGGAAAGGAGGGGCAAAGAAGTGGCAATGACTTCTGCAGTGATTGTCCATCCCACAGCTCCTAGCCACATCCTGGTGGCAGCTGTCTGCCTCTCTCTCCAAGGCTTTAGCATAAAGTGACACTGGCAGTGGAATCACAGCCACATTTCTGCACATGCCTATCCTAGCAGAGCCCTCAGTTATCGTATTGAAGCCACTTGCCCTCACTGCAGAATACTAGTAAAACCTTTACACTCCACTTCCCTGCTGTTTTCCATAAGGCTGTTGCAAATTGCTTTGCCAAAACTCGTGAGTCAGCCTCACCTTGCTGCTGAAAGATCAGTAGTAATTACTGCAGTATTATTGACAAGCCAGCTGAGGTGCAGAGAGGTTAAGATATTTGATGGAAGTCAGAAGTATCTGTCAGTACAAGATAAAAACTCCCAGAGGCCACAAGTACTTTGTCTGTGTGGGTTTTTAAGCCACATTTCCAGAGCTGTTGAGGAGACATGGATGCTGGTATTAAGGAATGGACACACTCAAACGTTTTCTTTTTTGGTCTGTTTACCCATCTTAAAATTCTGAAAAATGAGTAGCAGCTGGAGAAAGAACCTTCATCTGCAACTTGCCAGAGAATCACCCAACGGCAGGCTTTTCAACTCCAAGAATAAAGATACAAAAGATATTTCATTATATTAATCAGTTACAATCAGATGGGATTTCACAGACATAGTGCTGAAGGGCAGCAACATTAACCTGATCAATGATGTTATTTCATATGAGATGCACAGTGTCCCTGCAAAGCTGCCAATAACTTGCACTAGCCCACTGCCTTGGAAGGTCAAGACATCTGTTTTGATAACTAAGTACAAATGTTGGTGACTAATTTCCTGGTAGTTGCACTTAAACCTACAGATTTATCAGGGACGGTGCTGAACTGACAATCTGGAGATGTAAGTTACTCCCCTATGGAACAGGTGGGCTGTAGGCCAAGTAAGCTGACTTCCCTATTCTGCTCCCTTTACCAGTTTGCTGGCAGGTGAGTTACAAGGGGCCATCTGACTGTTAAGCTCTTTGCTGATCAAATCTTCCAGAAGAAGCCATCCATCAGCATCAGCAGCTACAAGGCCCAGAAACAAAGACCCAACCTCTTTCTCAGACTGTCATATGAACACACTGCTCCCCTACCAACTTATCCTTTCCCTGTTCACTTGTACTGCCAAGTTCACTGTAACACAGCAGCCCCTTTTTCACCCTAGGCCTTCAGAAAAAACTTGTTGCTTAGGAGCCCCATGTTTTATAAATACTCATGAGTGTACTTGCACAATACTCTAAGAAAGAAGGGAATTACTATTCAAGACAGTGAAACTGAGTGTGTTGTACAGGAAGACTTGAGTTCAAGCCAGAAAATTTGTTTAGATTTCTCATCTTTCTAATGACTATTTTAAACAAACTCCACAGCTTGCAGAAAAATATTATTACTCAAAGTTCATAGTCCCATGGATTGTCATCCAATAACAGACTCAAATCCCCTCATTAATGTGAGATTTTCACTCCCATTTTACAGTATACAGTCAGGCCTATGGCAAAAACGTGCAACATGAGAAACTGGTGACAGTCAGGTGTTTGATAACAGGTTTACCTGTTCTTGAAAAGCACTGGCTTGTTCTTCAAATCCAGCTGTTCTGAAATAATTCACAACATCAGTAACAGCCCAGTCAGCAGGATCTGGAGGCCTCCCGTTCTCTACTGAACTGCAAAGTGAAAATCCAGACAAGTAGTCACTAAATGCGTGGAGAACATCTGCTGCTTCTTTGTGCACACCACACGTACGCCCCTCCCTCCTTGTTCCTTCAGGAAAAGTATTCTTGGACGCACCTCCCTCTGCCCTGATACAGAACAGTCATTCCTGTTCTTTTCCATGTCAAAGACCTAATGCTGGGGACAACTCCCAGGTACCTCTCCCTTCAGAAAAGAAGAAAATATAGGAATCTTCACATCAGCCAAAGGTATTCAGTCAGGATCTTCCTACAAGTGTGCTGCCTTTGCTGTTGGAGAATGAAGACTGCCATAACTGAGGATCCAAATTCCTGTCCTTCAAGCCTTCAGCTTGTTTTCAGCTACCAAGTACCTAACGAATTGTGTGTCAATTATTCTTTTCCCAGATGAGACTGGACTTCCTTGTAACATGGCTAGAAATTACTGGTAACCATCTTTACCTTATAAAAACAACATCAAATAATAAAACACAAACAAACAACATCCTCCCCCCCCAAAAAAAAAAGAAAAACAGAACAAAACAAAAATGAGGTACCAAATGATTGCACTTATTCTTAATATAGAAAATTTTTCATGTTTTTGGACTCATCTTCAGACAAATCTATGGACTTCCTAAATAACTATGAATCTGAGAAAACATCTGTTAAATGCAATCAGAATTAATTCCTTCTGTGATTAACCTCAGGCAAATGTTTTCCACAGAAGCAAAACCAACCAAACATTCATATTACTATCCTTATTCTAACTTTCTTTTCCTCAAACTGGAATCACTATATCACAAAGATAACCTTTGTGTATCTAAAAATTCTTGGTAAAAGACACACAGTGAGCTTGATTGCCTTTTCTATTGGGATTTATGAGGATGAAGAGCAAGACATTAAAGAGTTTCTCTAACATGTTTCTCCAACTGAAAGCCCTGAAGTTCATGCCAAATATTTTTCACTGTTCTGCATGCTTAACCATAACACTAATGAAGAAATATTGAAAATGTACAGATCAGGACAGAAGTCAGAATCTTGTCCGTTTCAGGGCTGAAGCTGAGCAGCAGGACTTGGATTTCAACAGCACCAGCCGGAAAAGACACGCAGATTATACTCTGCTGACACCATTTTTGTTCTGTCCTCCAAATTTTTCTTTTCCAGCTGTCACCACCTCTGCCTTGCCTGGACTTGTACGTCTTTCAGCAAAATAATCAGGGTGTCAACCACTTTTCAAACCAGCCAAACAGAATCACACAGAGTGCCTCCCATCACTGTTTCTACAACATCCCAATTTCTACAACTTTCCGAGCCCTGGGAAGGAGGACTCGTGAAAACAACAGTTTTTGCATCTCCCCTAACTCTTGAAATGTTCCTGTCAATATGGCAACAAAATCTGACTGCAGGGACTCATCCACAATCTATGCTGCACTTGGCCTTATAGAAGCAGTTTCTTTCACTTATCATATATCTCAGAGCAATAAGCAAAGGACCAGAGTTTCTTACTTTTGCTCATCACATAATGACTTACTTCATGAATTGCTTCTTTGATTGTGATTACATAGAAAGCAACACTCAGTAAAACTGAACATGGGACTATTTGGTCTTATCAGAGCTGCATTTTTTTTCTTTTTATTTTTTTTAAGCCAAAGAATGCCTTTCTCTTAAGATTTTTCAGTGTTGTGCACATTCTGAAGCCTAAGAAGTAAAATGTTGAAAGCACCACACAAAATCTACACGTATTTATAAAAGCAGAATTTGAAGAATCATATTTAAATCTTTGCACTTTCCCTACATTATAAACTATCACTTCCAATGACTCATCTTCTACTTAAAAATAAACAAACAAAACCTCAACAACTCAGTATTAGAAAAAACTCTAGGAGATACCGAATTTAATCCTTCCTAAACAGCAAATAAAAGGTTCAATCTGTAAAAATACATCCTGACCATAATTTGCTTACTTCTCCAAACATTTTAATTTCAAGTTAAATATGGTCCCAAACCCTCCTTCCCACAGTTTTTTATCAGCCCAGGTGTGTTGGGGTTTTTTTGTAGCTTTTCTTTTATCACTAGGGAACTACAGCTTGGTCCAGCCCCATCCCAGGCCCAACTGCAATGACTTCAGGGGCTCTATCTCTGTCATTAACTAATTGCAGGAAATAATTGCAAGTTCCTTCCTCAAGGAATAGCATCATGCTGGACCTCGAGTGGAGCCAATTTCCACAGCTACAGCTGCAGAAGACTGGAAGGCATGTGGCAGACTGCTGGAGGCTGGCTGGATTTTAACCCATCTACCCACACAGATGCTCATTTAGCACTTTAATAGTCTCCTCCTTGCCCTGCTGTTGACATGGCTCTATTCTGTAAACAAGGAAAGCGAATATATAACATCCATAGCTTAGCCATACCCTGCTTTATGCCTGACATCCTGGATGCTGTAAAAGGACTTAAGAGGACTGGCATTTTAGGCTTTGACAGGAGATACTAGATGCACTGACAATGTATAAAGATTAGGCTCGTCTGTTTTTCACCAGTGTCCCTGTGCCTTTATTGCCATCATGTGGCAGAAGCAGCAAGGTCTGAAAAGCCATAGCTGAGAACAAACAGATTTTATCCAAGCTATTTATAACCACTTCAACAAAGTGTCAAATACTTCCTTTGTAGATAAGCACACAAACATACTATATACATTCATCTAGAAACCACAGCCCTGATCAGTTTAATTACATTTCCCATCCATTCTAAAAAGCCACCTTAGCAATCAGTATTTGAGCCTTTTTCACTGAAGCCTTGGGGAATATGATTAAATGTGAACTGTCCTTGCTTTGACTGCGACCCTTCTCCTCCCACCAGAGTACTCATTGTAGAAGCCAGACTGTCAACTGAAGGTGGCTTCTGAGGGACATACACAATAATCCATTCACAGTCACTGAATAGGAAAATGCTCTTTATGTTGGTGTGGTATAGCCAGCATCTCAAGTGAAGGGGCAGGATGCTGATTTTAATGGCTGCCATCAGATCTTTTGATGCCGTGTCATAATCAGGTGTTTTATCAGCATCCTGAAGTGACCGTTATTATTATTTATATTACTCTAGTGCCTGGTAGCCTAAGCATTGTCTTGTTGTCTTGGATGGCTTATGTAAAAGGGATCTGAAGGAGAAGAATGAGCTGCAGCTGCGCAGAAGTGCTGCAGTTCGAGAGGACAGACAAAGAACGCACTCTAGTATCTTTCTTTGTGGTTTGTTGTTGTTTTTTTTTTTCTTTTAATATACATGCATATGTGTACATCTATCTCAGCATGGCTTCTATAACCATAAAGCAGCAAGGCCAAACCATAAAGCAGCAAGGCCAGATTTTTCCACACAGAACTTCACTTCTCAGATCATGGCTTCATTCAAAATTGCTAGTCCTAATCTAAGCATTTCTGACCTTTAAGGATAAGTAAATGCCTACAAAACAGTCCCTATTCCTTAACCTGCAGTTTACCACATAAAAGGAAACAGTAGAGCAGTGCACACTGTATCTGTCTTATTCCCACCATAGGTCTGAAGTAAAAACCCAGCAGTTTAGGGCTTCTCCAAGAAACAGCTTAAGATATCTGTTTCAGAAGAGAACTGACACTGAAGTGATATGCTGCTGCTACTTCTCAGCCACTAGACAGGTGGGCTGACAGCAGAGAAGGGCGTATGTCTTTCTGAGTGAGACAGAAAGCAGATTTCCACACAGGACACTTCTCTCCATTAGGCACTGGTTCTGCAAAAGCCACGAGCACACAGGTGAGCAGAGGTAGAATATTGGTTACAGTGCTACCACTTTCTCTAGTTGAGAGGAAAAAATTTAATGGAGGAAGGTGTACCCCTAACTCAAGTTACCAGCTTCTACATCTCTCCACTGCTATACAGTCCTTCCGCACACCTCCTCTAAGCAACTCAGTGCCCTAGAGTCTTCTATTTCAAAGTTGAAATACAATAGATATAGTTTCGAATAGACAAGGTTTGAAATGAGCAAAAATGGAGACACCCACAATCACATTAGGTCAAAGGAAAACTACATTCGAAATCCATGTCCTGTTTACAGAAGAGGAACACTTCGAATTCACTTACTTTTTGACATCCAGAGAGCCATTTTCCTTGTTTTCCATGTCAACAATTAGCATGGGGAGGATAGAGGCTTCTTTTACTTCAGCAACTGATTAACAGGGAGGGGAAAAAAGCAGTGTGTAATTATTGCTAGTATGACAAGAACAACATAATGTAACAGAAACAAGCATTCTACAGGGACACAAGCATGTTTCCACCTGAGAGCAACGGTGCTGTCAAAGACTGATTTTCTCAGAAGCTTGGCAAAGCCAACAGGAGCTAATGAACTAGAAAAAAGTTGACCTGTGCTTCAAACACAAGAAATATTTATTGCCTGAAAATCAAGGAATTTGATCCTTTTTAAGTGTTAAAATATTGATCAAATTATATATTCATATACATGGAGACTGACCTACAATATACAGCTACGTATCAAGAGAGCTTAACAGGCCTTCAGTCAGCCTGTGAGGGGTCCAACCAGACACATGATCTTATCCTTAGAGAGGTTTGGAAATCATAGCCTTGCTTTACAAATGGGCACTCTGGGATACAGATGAGCACAGTCATTTTTGCCCATCTCACACATAAAAGGGGTAAGCAGAATTACTAATTGAGCACCAAGCTCCTGAGGCTTACATCAGCATCTTATCTGTAAGACCATCCTTCCTGCACTAGCTTCTTTTATAGGTATAGTATACCAAACTCCAAAAAGGGAAGGAGCACATGAAGCACAGAGGAGAAAATCCCATTAATTTCCCTCCTCACTGCGTGCTGCAGTACTTTCACCACATAGCTTTTTCCACCACTCCACAAAACACAGAGAAATGACCCGAGCCTTTCCTTTCTGTTCTCAAGTAAGCCATTTCTGTTTTAGAGAGCACCAGAGAACTGACCAAGGACTCAGGATGTTCTTGCTGTGTAGCATTAATGGATGCCAGTGAAATGGCACAAGCTCTGGGAAGTACACAACAGGGAAATCATGCTCTTCAGCTAAAACTTTGCAAAAATAGAGAACTGCAATTAACACTGTTGTTAAAAAAAAAAAAGGATCCTTTATTAAACATCACGTAAAGCACCAAGAAGACAGTAATAAACTAATCGAAAAGATGCTTCCTGCAGCGCTGACCGAACAGCTCCACGTCTTGCCCCGAATCACTTCTTGGTTCACCCGAGGTGACTGCAGGCGACACCCGCACCGCACTACCTGCCGGACGCCCCCGCTCCGCGGCCGCGCAGCTCCCGGCGCCCCCCGAGCTCGGGGCGGGCACCGCCCGCGGAGCCCCCGGGGCTGCCCTTCCCCGCGGCCCCGCCGGGGCTGTGACACCCGTTCACCGTGTCACGGGCACCCCCGCGCCCGCTCGCCTGCACCGCATCGTCGGCTCTGCCTGGGGCGGGGGAAGCGAGGCAGAAAAACCTACCTACGAGCAACTAAACCAGTGCATGGTCCCCGGCTGCTGCGGAGCGCCGGAGCCCGCGGCCCCCGCCCCCCCGGCGGCAGCGGGCGCTGCGCGGCGGCTCCGAGCGGCGGCGGGCGCGGCCCCGCCCGGGCCGTGACGGGCCCGCCCGCGTCATGGCCGCCGCCTTAAAGGCGCCGCGCCGCGGGGCCGCGCCCGCCGGGAGCGGAGGGTCTCCGGCGGTCCGAGCACGGAGGGAGCGACGCCCCCGCGGCGCTGCCGGCAGCGCGTACCTGCGGGGCAGCCTCGAGCAGCGCTGCCGGCAGCGCGTACCTGCGGGGCAGCCTCGAGCGGCGCCGGGCAGCGGCGTGCGGGCACGGCGGGGCCGACCTGCCGGCGGCACACGGGGAGCAGCGCTCGGCTCCCGGTTCGGGACCTGAGTGCCTTGGGACCTCCTTGTGGACATTTCTACTCCTACCGAGCGACATAGCTGCTCTCAGTGAAGTTCGTCTCCATGAGGAAGGCAGCCTTAGAGAACACGGTGCCGGTTACACACTCGTTTGGTCAGGTAAACCCAGAACCGAAAGGCATCTCTCGGGTGTAGGCTTCATGATTAAAAACTCTGTTGTTCCTAAACTCGAAAATCTGCCGACAGGTCACTCTGACCGCATTATCTCCCTATGCCTTCCACTAAACAACAAGCAACATGTTGTCCTCTTTAGTATATATGCCCCAACTCTCCAAGCTGACTCTGCCGAAAAAGATAAATTTTACACTGACCTGCGCCACCTTACCCAAAAGGTGCCTGCAGATGATAAGATCATTATCCTTGGTGATTTCAATGCCAGAGTAAGAAAGAACTTTGAAGCCTGGAAAAGAGTATTAGGCAAGCATGGTGTTGGAAACTGCAACGATAATGGTCGACTTCTGCTGGAATTCTGTGCGGAGCAACAGCTCACCGTCACTAATACTATCTTTCAGCAGAAAAACAGTCTGAAGACAACCTGGATGCACCCCAGATCTAAGCATTGGCACCTCATGGATTATGTCTTGGTGCGACGGAGAGATGTCCGCGATGTCCACCATACCCGTGTGATGCCCAGTGCAGAATGCCAAACAGACCATCAGCTTGTGCGCTGTAAACTCAACTTCAATCTCAAATTCAAACCTAAAAGGGGCGGTATTCCAAAGAGGAGACTCCAAGTTAACAATCTCCAATCAGCCACAGTGAGAGACAGATTCCAGGCAAATCTTCAAACTAGGCTCAAAAACCATTCCATAGATTCTGCAGATGCCTCTCCTGAAACACTTTGGCACCATATTAAAAACAGCTTCCTGCAATCCTCTGAAGAATCCTTAGGGTTTTCCTTCAAGAAGAACAAGGACTGGTTTGATAAAAACAATCAAGAGATCCAAGAATTGTTGAAGAAGAGAACCACTTCCCAAGCACACCTTGCACTGCCATCCTGTCATGTAAGAAAAGCAGCCTTTTGTCTTGCATGCAGCAAGCTCCAACAGAAACTCCGTGACATCCAGAACAAGTGGTGGATCAATCTAGCTGAAAAAACTCAATTATGTGCAGATACAGGTGATCACAGAGGATTCTATGAGGCCTTGAAAACAGCATACGGGCCTACGTACCAGGTCCAAAGCCCTCTACTCAGCGCTGATGGTCAAATGCTTCTGACAGATAAAACCTCCATTCTGAATCGATGTTTGAACACTTTCAGACCCTTTTCAGTACCAACCGTGTAGTCCAAGACTCAGCAATTCAGTCCATCACACGACAACCAGTGAAGTATGAACTGGATATTGCCCCCATTTTGGGAGAAACTCTTAAGGCCATACAGCAGGTGAAAATTGGCAAGGCAGCTGGGGTTGATAGAAGTCTGGAAGTTTGTCACACGCATGTGGACAGCAAACTTGGCCTTCTCTGGAACTCATGAAACTGGAGGCTTGAGGTGATGGGAAAGGGGAGTGACCAAGGACAACAGAGCCACCACTGCTACCATGCCACTGCCAGCACTGGGGAAAGAGAGGAGGTGGAGACGCTGATTCCCAGGGACATTTACATCTCTTAGTGGTCTAAGCTCCAGACTTTTATTTCACAAGTATACCACACCCATGGGATTTGCTGTACAGGAAGGTACAATTCAAAGTGCCTACAAATGACAAAGTCTGGCCCACTGACATTAAAATCTCACCTACAAAGTTTTCAAGTTTATCTGGTAACAGCACTTTTTCTTTATTACACTCTATTTTTTAATGTCTTCTTCAAAATTTTCCTTGATTCATTATGTTTTCTAATGGCATAGAAGCATTACATGGACGAGATGTTGTCAGTGCCAGGGGAATTAAGCAAGGAATACCAACCAACACATCCCGCTTTCCCACGCATGGGCTTTGCAGCCAGGGCTGTGTCCCAGCCAGATGCTGTTATCTTTTCCCTATCCCAAACAGCCTGGATTACTTCAAATTTGTGGGGTGCTTTACTTGCAGAGTTTCCTTCTGAGTCAAACCACTCAAATTACACCCTTGCTGTTTGCTGCGAGGCAAGGGGGACATTATAAATTACCTGTGGATTCATACAGAACCTGGAGATTTCTGCAGAGCTCTGTGACACGAGTGCCCCAGCCGGCACAGACAGAGCCTGGCCAGCAGAGCAGGCACATGGGGCTGTCCCAGGCACCGTGCATCTGTCTCACTCCCAGACAAAGCTTGCTGCACCCTGGCTGCACCGAGATTCAGGTCACCTAACTGCTAACCCAACACAGTTAGGAGCACTAAAATCACCAGAAAACTGGACTTCTGTGCAAAGGACTGCAGACATGACTTCCCCAACCACTTCATTTTGTCTGACATATGCTGTTAAATAAATAACCAAAGCTTGTAAAAACTATGCAAATAACAGCACTCAAGCATCAACAGAAGTGTTGAGAACAGAGAGCAGTGACAGTCCTCACTCCTTTGGATTTAAATAAATGCAGATAAACAAGATAAATAGAGTATTAAATGTAGTGCACCCTAAAGAAAACCCTCTTTAGTTCACATCCCAAAGCATACTGTAAAACATGGCATATTTGTGTTGGACAAGTAAGCCAAGCAAGGCAATTCTTTTCTGTTTCTCAAGAAATAAGCATTCTGAATAAGGCCATAATGAGTTTTCTGCATCAGCTGGTTTCTAACTTTGGGAACGAACTGACATTTGAGGATACAAATATAAATGAGTTATTTTACTCACACTCTCCCCTTCCTTCCATCATGTTCTTCAATTAATTCTTTGAGTATTTAAAGTGAGGCTCACACAGTACATGCATTCCTTCTAGAGGACCTTGAACAGCAAAGAGAGGAATTTTAATAAAATGGGTTATGGAAAAATTCAATGCGGAATATCATCTGTGGCTTGTATTTTCATTCATTGGGGTAGGGTAATTTAATTATAATGAAATTACGTCTGGAGGGAGACAAAACAGAAAAGTGAATAAGTCTTTTGTTTGACTATTTGCATCCCACTTCTGGCAAAAAAAAACCCAAAAAAAACCAACAGAGTTTCCAAGCTGTGCAAGGGAACAAAGTGAGACCAGGGTTGGTAGCCCTGACTGGCTGTGTCTCACCTTCTGCTGTCACACAGAGGGAAACACACAGAGCTCAGCGCAGGTATCGGACACCAGTCGACCCTGTTTTCTGGGTATTGGAAAAGGCCAGAAAAGGCTATCTTTTTTGTCTCTGCCAATGAAAACAGTAGATGAAGACAAAATGCACCATGCATGTGGCAGAGTGTAGCGCCCTGTTAGTTGTGCAGTGGATACTGAGTTTCAGCTCCCCTAGAGCTAAATAAAGCCCTTTAAACCTTCCTTATTCCAGCGTCCTGGGTAGAAACATGGTTAAACACAGGGAAAGCTGAATGAGGAAACAACGCAGGACTTTCGTGGTTTCCCACTGAGGGAATCCGCCCTCCAAAAGCTAGCCTTATGCAGAGCAGAATGGGCCGTATCCCTGTATAAAATAGGTATTCCTTTGCCACCATGGCCCGCCCGCTCGGTGCCCTCAGCAGGACGGGCCGGGGCAGGGGCCGCCCTCACCGCGGCGCGGGGGCTGCCGGGAGCGGGGCCCTTCCCCTCACGGGGCCCTTCCCTTCCCCTCGCGGCTGCCTCCCTTTCCCTCCCCTCACGGGGCCCTTCCCTTCCCCTCACGGCTGCCTCCCTTTCCCTCCCCTCACGGGGCCCTTCCCTTCCCCTCACGGCTGCCTTTCCCTTCCCCAACCCTCACGGGGCCCTTCCCTTCCCCTCAGGGCGGCCCTTCCTCTCACGGCGGCCCTTCCCTTCGCCTCACGGGGCCCTTCCCCTCACGGCCCCGGGGCGGCTCCCGGAGCCCAGAGCGCGGCTGCTGCTCCTCTGCGTGCTCAGGAGACACTTCGGGGCTAGCGGGGATCGCTTGTGGTTCACCGTGAGGAAAAGCGAACCAGATATGGGCAAATTGCGGAGACATTTCATTTAAATGTGCTGGCAGCCAACAAATGATCAGCTCCTCGTAATGCACAGCACTGGCGGCAGGGGAATCAAGGGAGGGGCTCAGGCTGTTTTTAAGTAACTCGTCACAAGGGTGGAAGTGACATGGGTGTACAGATGACAGCTTGTCCCCCAGGTGATTTTAGGCAGCCTTGGACTACTTAGAGTAACTAGGGGTCTTTTCCACAGTCCCTGGCAACTACAATATACTCAGAAAGACACAAAAACCCTGTTACTGGTCCAGGTTGCACCTTTCCAACACTTTACTCTCAGAAAACTGTCTTTTCTCAGTTAAAATCTTTTCAACTCCTGTCCATTGTCTTTACAGTTTGCTGGAATGGAATTTTGTCACTTACCTTGCTGCACAGCATCAACAGATGTTGGACCCACTGTCCTGCTCTCCCTTCCCTATTTCAGCACTGCATACACAGGAATGAGGGACAGCTCCCATCAAGGAACTCTAGTCTGCCCGAAGAGTCCAGCAGTGAAGTGCCTCTCTTCAATTCCTGCCTTGGCAGCAAGATCCTCCAAAAAACTTGTGTCTTCTTCACAGTCCCCTTCTGACCTGCCAGGGTTTTCTGCAGGGCTGAGCATTGTCATGTTGCTCTGAAGTTCTGCATAAAGCCTAGACAAAAGGCTAAAGATAGCATTGGTGTTAAATAAGTGTGGAGGGAAGGAAGGCAGAAAACCTGCGGCCAGAATACAGCAGAGTGACTTGCTACCAGCCTGGCATTCATTTTCAAGGCAATTAAGTGTGCAGCGCTAGATCAGAGCACAACAGCCAGTCAGCCTCAGTTTACATTCCACGCAGTTACCAGGGTACACTCCTGTAAGGTAAAACCCAGGATCCGTAGATGTGCAAAAACTTTTGTCAAAGCTGTGGGTATCAGGCCCAGTGCCAGGGTTCAGAGCGGTGCACAGGCTGAGTCAGTGACACAGCTCCCTGCCTGCAAGCCTGGGGGGAGGAGCACGGCCCAGACTTACTGACAAAGCAGGGTGGCAAAGGCTCTTGGTTTGTCCTGATGGAGAGTCCCTTGAATCTTTGCACTAGTATCCTAAGGCACTTTTTATACAACATGCGTTATCCAACTGTTTTTTGTAATCATATGAATCTCCAATAAGATGACTAGTGTTGCACCCTCCTTGTACCAGTCTAAAAACAAACGTGTACAACAGCTGACTGCAATGCAAGGCAGCGATACCTTTCTGCTTTTGCTTCCTCTTGTTTCCAGGACTGAATTGCTTAAATAAATCTTCCTGCATGTTAATTATATCCACTTCACTGAGAATTTCCTGCCCTACTTACTTTGTTGTGCAACTTCTTACTGTGGTAGTCGCTCATATTTAATAAGCTTCTGTCCGGACATAAAGCCTTGTTATTTTAAAGCTTATACTTTGTATTAAAAAATCATTGTAAAAAACACAGCTCATTGTGCCCACACTAGCAGTAGGACCTGCCACACACGAAAACATCAAGTAGAAAGATGAGGGTAAAGATGGAAGAAATCGAAAGGACATCCCAATCAAGCATTCATTTTGTTGAACTGTAACTTAGATAACTACATATACATTCAAAGTAGCAATGTAGATACACAGTAAAGAGCAATACTTCTGGGAGAAGGCAGTTCCTGTGATATTGCTGTGTACACCAAAGCATTAATACACCACTAAATGCAAATGGGGTGTTGGATTATTTTTTTTTCATTTAATGAAATTATCTTGGTGGGGGAAGAATTTCAGACAGTTAATCAAGCCTTCCAACACTCCAGTTTTCTCTTTGTTGCCCTAATCACCAGTAATTTTTCCTGGAATTGACTGGACACACTCAGAATGAACCACACTGTCTGCCTGGCTGCTGAGACCTTGCTCCATTTGTGTCAACATACCTACAGCTGTGTCCTTTCCAATTTTCCACAGCACCTTGGAAGCAAAGGCAAAGGAGGATGTTTCTGATGACTACCTCCCAGCAAAGGAAAACATGTTACTGTGGTTGCCTACGTATGGGAACAGATGCCTGACCTCCGTCCTCAAACTCCCTCCAACTACAACAACCGTTCATCCTAAAGAGCTTTTGTGCTGCAACCTTGTACACATGTTGGGCAGTGCCTTTATCTTGTCCTTGGCACAGATGCCTCACCTACAGCCGGGCTGCTTCTAACACAGAGAGCAGCATTTGCAATCAGACACTAGACTGCCACTGTGTGATCTATCAAAATCTAAACCTTATAAACGCAGCACTAGTAAGAAATATGCAAGTTTGTCACTGGGTTGCTTTTAAACTTTAAAACAAAGAGCTACATAAACACAATTCTTAGAAATAAATTTTTGCAAAGCCATTTATATTTGACCTTCTGAGGGAGGGAACAGGATAACGAGGCTGTAAGGATTCTAAAGGAATTTTTACCGGTTTTGAAACACAATGTTGGGAACTCATCCCTAAGATTTCATGGAAACCTCAAGCTGCTGTTATCCCACTGAGGTAAGAACTTTTTGTAGTAGTCAATTATAAAAATAAAACACATTTTCAATATATGCAAGTTCCTTCAGACAGGCATTCCTTTTTATAATATAAAACCCCTCCCTAAATCCAAACCACAAACCAACAAAAAAGGTAAAAATGTGACTAGACGTAAGATTTAATTAATACTTTTACTCATCATCAAACTCAGAAGTTAGGGAAGATATCCTGAGATCTTATCTTGCCTCAAGATACTAAAAAAAAATCCAACACTTCACATAATCCCTATGTAAGATGACAAATATCTACTATCTCTAAGGCATCCTTGTGGAGCTCTACCCCTTTTACTGCCCAGTCTGACATTAGTCACTTGAATTTTACCCTTTATGTCAGAGGACTCAAATCAGTTGATTCCTCAAGCCTTCAATTAAAAACATTTTTTAAATGTGTGCAAGACCCGCACTTGTAAAACTGTGTGGTCAAACTCTTTTTTTTCTGCTTTTAATCGTCAAACACATCCAGATAAGCTATGTACACCCCAGCTGGAGAATGGAACTGCCTTTTTACCATTTCCTTATGGAATGTTCTCAAAATTCTGATCTGGGATAAGTCCTCCTCACAGGCAGCAAATCAGAAGAACACATTTGAATGACGTGTTCAAATCTGCGGCTCAGCACGCTGTGTTTGCATGGGAGCTGCAGTAAAAGCAGAAGGCAATACTTTTGCAGGTTTTTTAGCTCAGCTTTAGAAACAGTACAAAGGCCTTTGAACTGTAACGTAGCAGTAGTCCTACGAAACCAAGCAGCCAAACCCGCAGTGAGCGGGGGCACAGCGGCAGCAGCAGAGGCCAGAGCTCGGCTCGCACAGCAGGAAGAGGAGGAGCTGCAGTGCAGAGCAGGTACCGGAGCCTCTCCTAACACCACTTGCAGAAAAAGCCTCAAGACAGACAATGCCAAGCCCACGAACAGTCTTTACTTCTCTCAGTTATTTCACAGCACAATGAGACACAGCACAAAGTTTGTACAGCGGGATCTGCAGACAGTTTAAAAACAGGCAATTATCTTTAATAAGAAGCATTGAGTCTAAATGAAAATAATATGAAGACAAACAATACTGAAGCTAATGATCACCTTGCTTGCTTTTGATTGTCTAAAAAGTCCAAGACTTGTCATAGTGCCTTTAATGTTCTCCACATCACCTTCTCCAAACACCCTAGTTAGTGTAAAGCTTAATGTGCCTCAACTCATATGTGTGGGTAGGTTTCACAACCTTTTCCTCTTGCTCTCAAACCCTACTTGCAGTGTGTGGGGAGGTGCAACAACTCTCATCATACAACATTCTGATTCACAAAGAAGCAGCACAAGTGTTGTACATAATTTAATTTGCACTTCTGTATATAAATGTTTACTATATTGCACACTATTGCAGCACTTAAAAACATCTAATTATTTGCAAAAATTAGTAAAATACTTTAAAGGATTTAAAAATAAGGGTTTTAATGCAACTGACAAGATAATAAAAAAAGCAATTTACTTAATGAGATACAATCCTTTATGTTGGAAATGAAAGTTACATACAACTAGAGTACAATTAAAATATACCATATAGTTCAACACTTAATTCCTCAAATGTGTAAAATTAACAAGCTTCTACTGTCATAGATATACAATTTTTCCATATTGTGAAAAGGATTTTTCAAATTAAATACAGGTAACATAATATTCTGTAGTTATATTTCACGACTGTGTTTAAATGAGAGGGTTGTATAATACTCACATTGTCAAATGTACTCACTAATGCCTTGGAAATTGCACACTTCCCCTCCTTTTCCAAAATAGAATCTCGTTTCCATACTGAAGTCTATTATGCCATATTGGAAAAGTGTTTAACTTGCTGACAGGATTTTCATAAAATTAAAAAATAGCAGAATATCATGGCATTATAATGACTTTTCCACTTATGCCCATGTAGAATTTAATCTGGATATCAGACAGACACGTCAGAACCAATTTCCTAGACTTTTGTCTTATTGTACACGCAAGATGAATGATTACAGTATATTACAAAACAGAAAAATCTCTGAACCTTTCTAGAATTATAAATGTAATGATTAAAAATTAAAATCATAA